TTTTAACTTATTGATCGAAGCACAAAAGTACTAGGCAGATACTGAGAGGATGCTCCCCCTTGTGGGGGAGATTAGAACTGGAGGACACAGTTTTTAAAAACACAGCGAGCTCCTACAAACTGCCCCATGATAGTGATTTGATGATTTATTTTTGTTTTTTTTGTGGGGGGGAGGGTTTTGATAAATTCAGGGTAGGACATTTGGGGAGAACGCACTGCCCTGAAAATATTGCAATGGGATCTTTTCCCTAAGAGGGCAGGCGGAGCCTCTCTGATTATGGGATACTGAAATGTAGCGCTCCCTGACAATGTAGCACTCCCTCAGCCCCCGATGCTTGACATGTTGCCCTGGCTTTTCGATAGGGTCTTTGCTGCGAGGATTGAACCTGTGGCTTCCAGACCTGGGGAAGGAGTGCTAGCCACAGAACTGTCCATTCAAAGTTGCAAAGCTGTGGAGAAATGTTGGCAGAGCCCTCTTCCCTGGCTAGCTCTGGAGGTGGGGTCATTTAGTCCTTCTAAGGCAGAAGTAGATAAATCCTTTTATTAACAAGGAGTCAGAGGACATTGGGTGAGGACAGGAAAGAGAAGTTCAGACCACAATCAGATTGACCACGATTTAATTGAATAGTGGAGCATAGAAAATAGCAGCAGGAGTATGCCATTCGGCCCTTCGAGCCTGCACCAGTATTCAATATGATCATGGCTGATCATGCAATCTCAGTGTCCCATTCCCGCCCTCTCCCCATACCCGTTGATCCCTTTAGGTGTAAGGGCCACCCAGCTCCCTCTTGAATATATCCAATGAACTGGCCCCAACAGCTTCCTGTGGGAGAGAATTCTACAGGTTCACACTCTCTGTATGAAGAAACTCTTCCTTGTCTCAGTCCCGAATGGCTTATCCCTTATTCTTAGACTGTGACCCTAGTTCTGGACTTCCCCAACATCGGGAACATTCTTCCTGCGTCTAGCCTGTCCGGTCCGATCAGGATTTTATGGTTCTGAGATGCCCTCATTCTTCTAAATTCCAGTGAATACAATGAATTTGATCAAAATCTGGAGTTCAAAGGCTGGCAGAATAGTACCAAGTAACGTTTAAAATCCCTCATGTCCTTTTAGGGTAGGAAATCTGCCATCCTTGCTTAGTCTGGTCTACATGTGACTCCAGACCTACAACAAATGTGGTTGGCTCATAACTGCCCACTGGGCAGTAAGGAGTGGGTAATAAATGCTGACTTTGCCAGCGATGCCCACATCCTGTGAATGAATAAAAGCAAAGCTCAGCAGGCTGAATGGCCTACTCTTGTTCCTGCATCAGTTGGCTCATTTGACTGGACAGCTGGTTTGCGACGCAGAGTAATGCCAATAGCATGAGTTTGGTTCCCACACTGGCTGAGATTACCATGAAGGGCTCTCCCTGTCAACCTCTTCGTATACCTGAGTTGTGGTGATCCTTGGGTTAAACCACCACCAGTCACCTTTCTCTCTAATGAGAGGTCAGTCCTATGATCTGGTAAGGCAAGAGTGGCTTTACCTTTTTATTTTGTATCTTGCACTGAAGTTTGGTTTAATGTTGCAAGGGATAAAACCAAATCTGCAATTCCAAATTAATGACATTTGGAAAATCAGAACAGAGCAACAGGAGGAGGCCATTCATTTCTTGAGCCTTTGCTATTCAATTAGATCATGACTGATCTGTAATCCATCTTCACCAACCCACCTTGGTTCTGTAATTCTTAATTATCCCAAGCAAAAGCTATCTTTTTTGAGTTTTAATTGATGCCCAGCCTTAATAGATTTTCAGGAAAAGTTACAGATTCGCACTGCCCTTTTTGAAGAATTGCTTCTTGGCATCACCTGAATAGCCTGGATCCAATTTTAAGGTCCCCGTCGCACCACCAAACTAAATTCTGGTTTCCACTCCCTCTCCCCCTACCCTAACCCAATGAGGAAATGGGATCAATTCTTTCAACAACTTCAAGGAACAATACAGCACAGGAACAGGCCCTTCGGCCCACCAGGCCTGTGCCAACACATTTTGCCCTTCCATGCTAAAACTATCTTCACCTACAAGATCCATATCCTCTGTTCCCTTCCTATTCGTGTATTCATCCAGGTGTTTGTTGAATGCTGCTATTGTGATTGCTTCCACCACCTCCTCTGGCAACGTGTTCCAGACACTCACCACGCTTTGTGTGAAAAACATGCCTCACACATCTCTTTTAAACTGCTCCCCCTCACCCTCACACCTCGAACCTGTGTGCCCTAGTAATTGACCCCTCCACCCGGGGAAAAAGCCTCATACTTTGTGAATGGCATGGACAGAGTGCAATCTTATAAACTTCTATCAGGTTGCGACTCAACCTCCTGTGTTCCAGTGAAAACAGTAAACCCAGTCTATCCAATCTTTCTTCATAGCTAAAATCCCCCATATCAGACAACATCCTGGTAAATCTTTTTCCGTGCCCTCTCCAAAGCATCCACATCATTCTGGTAGTGTGGTGACCAGAACTGTACACAACAACAATAAAACTTCTGAATTTCATTCTCACTTAATCTCCTCAATGCAAGGACATTTAAATCTTTGCGACCTTATGTTTAAGTGTTTTTAATCACTGATATCATGCTGCTTAATCCTCCTTGGGTCGGTATATCCTTCCTGGGTCTGATTTATCCAGAACTAAATGTACTGATCTAAATGGGGTCTTTTACATTGTAATATAACATTGCCCCCCCCCCACCGCCTTTCCCTTTCTACAGCTGCCCCCTGCCTCAGGGGACAGCCACTGTTTTTTAATTTTCCTAATTCCTCCTTGCACCTTCCCCTCAGCTTTTTGTCTGAGCCCAAGTTTTTGAGCTGCGTTGCAATTCAACATTGAATCAGCTCCGAAACTTGCAGCTACATGTTAATCGCATTAAGGTGCTGGATTTGCTGCAAACTATTGAAACAAACACTGAGGAGAGTTTTACTGAATGTGTGTTGGGTTAACTCTCTTTCATTGGAAGTGGGATTATGTTCATTGGATTCAGCAGAATTGAATTTTGTCTTTGCTAGGTCATGAACAAACGGTGAAAATTGAGTGTGATTTTTCTTTTTGGCCATCGTTTCCTGCCTGCCCTGACGGTGTAAGGAGCTACTGAAACAGCCCACCCCTTACCCCCGCACCTCCACTGTGTAATTGCAAAGCTGGTCACCTGATTATTAACACTTTGTGGAAACTTGCTGCGTACTGCAACACTGACCATGCTTTGGAAATGCCTCCTGGCTGTGCAGCACTTGAGGACTGAGTCTGTGCAAAGAGCTGTATGAGCAAAGGGCTTTGTAAATGCAAGAAACAAGCACAGACAGTGCTGGAGAAAATCTCAGGTCTGGCAATGTTGGTGGAGAGAGCGACAGAGCTAATGTTTTGAGTCTGATGTGACTCATTTTTTCCAGAAAAGAATTGCCAGACTTGCTTCCTGCCCAAGAGTGATTGTGAATTTTTATTGACTGTTCTGTCATTTCAGCGGTCTGTCCATTTGTCCAATACTCTTAGTGACAAGTTTTTAAGCTTCCTAGCCACTGTCCAAAATAATACTTTTTAAAAAAATTCCTGGAGAGGTGTATTTGTCACAAGAAGTTTAACTGTGTGGTATTTATTGAATTATCATTCTACCAGAGTAAACGGGATTGGTACAAAAACAAAGTTGCTGGAAAAGCTCAGCAGGTCTGGCAGCATCTGTGAAGGAAGAAACAGTTAACGTTTCGGGTCCAGTGACCCTTCCTCATAACTTTGGTTTTTATTCAATGGGACTGGTATTTTGCTGCCATCAGTAAGGTCTGATTTATTTTAGTAACATGTTAAAGTTTCAATGTGACATGGAAGCAGTACTGGATACTAGCTGGTGGCGTACAAACTGTCTGCTGTGGGTGAACCTTCTCGCATGCCAGACTGAAATGGGTTTTAGGCAGGTGCCTGCAATCTTTTGGTGTGTTCTCATGGAAAACCTGTGCTAGTCTTAATGTGACATGCTGTTTTTTTAATGACCGGTGTTCCCCTGGTTCCAATTCAGACTTTGTGATTTGGACTGGCTGAACCACAACTAAGTTTCAGAACTGAGTTGTCACTGCAGCAAAATTAATTACACTTAAAATCTCAATTAAATTATTTCAAAAATCAGCTCCCTCCTTTTTTGCCTACTCTCCCTCAATTCTTGCTTTGATCAGAATCTGTTACTGTGAGCGCGGTGCAGTGGTCTGTTTACAGGTATACAATTTATATTTTTAAGGACATTATAATTTAGTTTTCAGGTAAAGGGGGTATCACTTTTGTGCTATATTTGTATATGCTGCAGAGTCATTCCATTAACTACTCTTAAGGCATCATTTCTTGCCTCTTTTACATTGGTTCACCAATGATCATTTTAGCCTCCCCGAGCCTACTCCCTCATTCAGTTGCATCACAGCTAATCCGAATATTAAACTCGCCAACCCATCTTGGCTCCATGTTCGTTAATACCTTTTCCAAACAGTTACCCATTCAACTCCATTTTTGAAATTTGCAGTCAATAACTGTTTCCTCTTTAAGTGATTCATGAGAAATTATCCACTTAGCCATTATAATTAAGATTATTGAAAATACTCATATTGGGGACAGATTTCTCGGGTTTTCCATTGCTTTCGGGGAGCTGTGATTATTGTTAGTATTTTATCATAAGGATGTAAGAACTAGGAGCAGGAGTAGGCATCATCAAGCCCAGCAAGCCTGTTCTATCATTTGAAACAATCAGGGCTGATCTCATCTTGGCCTCAACTCCATTTTCCTACTAAACTCCAGAGAGTATAGCAAAACCTAAACTGTTCAATCTCTGTTCAACAAATCTTTCAAAACTTGCTTTACCCATCATGAGGTTTCTGAGAACACACCCAAAGGACAAATATGAAGCATGGGTTTCTTTTGTTTGCATGTCATTTTTGTGTGTGTGTAACTTGTATTTTTCTTTCTTCCATCCCATTCTGCTCAGGACGAGCCCCGGGAAATAACACATACTATGCCTGTTGCATCTGTTGCTCCTCTGGCGCCAAAGTTCCCATCTGCATCCAGCTCGGCCTACAATATGACGGCCCGTCCTTTTGGAGCCTCAGCGTCTCCAAAGGTCACGCCTACATCTGCATCACCCCAGCCTGCAGCCTTTTCCCCAGCTTCATCACCCATCACTCAGCCTCCGCCTCCATCACTGGCATCCACTCTCAATAATTCCGCTCCCCCACCATCAGTGCCTGTTGCATCTCCACAGCAAACGCATGCCAGTTTCAAAGCTGGTGTCAATGGGCACACGCCACCGGTCACCACTGCTAAACCGAAAATAACCTCATCCATTAATGTCCCACGGCAGTCCAAGGCGTACAACACGCCCATAAACCTTTACTCCTCTGACACTGCCCATGAGGTGGCAGAGGGACAGAAGAGAGGACTGAGAGAGGGGCAGAGCGATGTCAAGCAGCAGAATGGGTAGGTCACTTCCTGCGAACCTTCTAGAACGGCCTAGGAAGCAGGCAGCAGACACATCTCGCTCTCGGGTGACCTGAGGAGAATTCCATTTGTAATCCAGGACGTGGGCACTCATTACCAAAGCAACAAGAGACTAGTTGAGGTGCCTCAACATCTCTGTATTTTGGTTCATAAAACTGTCACAGAAGCACAAGTGATATATTTTTTAAGAAAACATTTTTAACCTAATGAAACAGTATTTGCAAATATTGATTTACCTCAGTCGGCCAGGCGTTTAAAACATTTTGTATTTCGCACTTTATCCCAAATACATCCCAGAACTTGCCTGGATTTCATTATTGTCAGTGCATGTAAGTTTTTCGTTACATGAAATTTCCTCTTCTAAACTAAGACCAATTTGAGAATTGGATGTGTAGTCAGAAAGGAAAATGTTGTGAGATAATGGAGAAAGTAAAGTGAAGTAGGTCTCTTAAGGAGCTATCATAGAATCCCTACAGTGTGGAAACAGGCCCTTCAGCCCAAGAAATCCACACCAACCCACAGAGTATCCCACACAGACCCATTCCCCTGTAAACCCACCTAATGTACACGTCCCTGAACACTTTGGGCAATTTAGCATGGCTAATCCATCTAGCCTGAACATCTTTGGACTGTGGGAGGAAACCGGAGCACCCAGAGGAAACCCACGCAGACACGGGAAGAATGTGCGAACTCCACACAGACAGTCGCCCAAGGGTGGGATTGAACCCAGGTCCCTGGCGCTGTGAGGCAGCAGTGCTGACCACTGTGCCATGCCATATGGGCATGGTGTGTCAAATGGCCTCCTCCTTCATTGTACGATTTGATGTTTCTGTAACTTTGCTTCACTTGATTTCCTGGAGTGGCAGGTGAAACTGGGTTGTGAACTTAAGCATTTGGAAGTTGCAAAGCATTCCCTTCATGTCTGGTTTGCTTGCACATACTTGCTTCTGCCAGACCTCCCATATACTGACCCCTCAAGCAAACTTGGAAACGCTTGCAGAATCCTTTGGCCAGGGTGGCGGAGAAAAGCATTTGAAATGTAATTTTCCTGTTGACTGTTAGATCGACTTTAAGTGCACACACAAAAAAAAAACAAAAAACTCTTCTGGTGAAGCATTAGGATCTGATGTCTTTTTTAAAATCATATTGGAGATTCCCAAGACAACATTTTCTGAAGAGTTTAACTTCTCTGTACTTTCACATCTTGTTCTCAGATGTTTGTTCTGTGCAATAAAAATCTGCTTAGCAAAGGGAGAATTTGATGCTGGTGTAACATTAGTGCAGGAATAACTGCCTTGATCCCCAAGTATAGTCTGATCTGGGTAATTTTAGCCGCAAATGTTACACCTGCTAACGTAGCTATAGTTTTTGGCCTGCTTTCAGAATCTAAACTAAATGCACAGATAAAATTAATGGCTTCATAGGAATAAACCTTTCATTAAATTCAAATTTAACTGAGGTTAACTCTTAAGTAAACTTGGGATGTGTCATTTGAAAAAAAAGTCATACCATCAGGGCTGCTGTCTTCAAAATTGACTAAATTTCACATTGAGTTGTGTGATTTGTTGTGAACCTATGTTTCAGGCACTTGTTTTTAAGAAAAGTCTCTTGTGATTTGATTTTTGTGGAAGGGATTGACCCAATTTTAATCTCCGTATACTCTTATCAGTGTTACAAGACTACCCTAGCCTGAAATAACAAGGTGTAGAGCTGGA